GAGACACAACTTTTCGCACATTTACATTGTACTTTTAAGTAATTTTACACATAAAAAATGTTTTTTTTTTATTTTAACATTCAAATAACATTTTTAGTTAAAAACACCTTTTAAATATTGCATCCAAACATAAAATAACTTTGACTTTTAAAAAATAAAAAAAATTACTCATAAAAAATCCTTTTTTCAAAAGCTTATCCAAACAGAAATGAGTTTTATGAAAGGAGAAATATATTATCTTATGCTATAAACATATAACTTGTGGCCTATTAGTTATTTACAAATTAAAAAAGGAAATAATTATCTCATTTTACATGAGATAATTATCTTATGCATTAGATACAAATTGGACGTGGGATCCACTTTAAATTTTCTCTTTCTCTTTTATTCTCTCTCCTCTCTCTTTCATATGTGTGTGTAGGAGATTATTTTTCTCTCATGTTAAATGAGAAAAATAATCCCCAATAAAAAATAAATATAACACATTTTTTTATGGGTCAACAGCAAACTATGTCTCCTACACGGCTGTAGAAAAAGATAGTCCTTTTAATAATATTTTTTAGATTTAATATTTTTATTTTTATTGCAGAAAAAATATTTTTGTTATATTTGCATAAAAATGAGTGGATTCCACTAATATTTTTTCTCTTTTCTCTTTAAAATGAAACCTGCTCACTTTTATATTAATGTGACAATTTTTTTTCTCGCAAAAGTATAAATATTTTTTCCTATTTTTTATCCACACAAATTCAAAAATTAAATTTGTATTTATATGCTGAAAAATTAAAATACTCAAACTTTTTCCATTCAAATCAATATGCATTATTTTTCAAAAGGGAAAGTTGAAAAGAAAATTCTTTGATTTCCTTTCAGAATCATTTACTTTATAATTTTTTTTCCTATCACTTATCTTTGCCGTAGGTTTTTTTTCCACCGAAATTCAGTCTTAGAAAATATAATTTCTCATGTTGTCTTATGCTCACATAAAAAATTGAGTAAAATTCATCTATTTTCTTTCTTTATCTTTTCCATAATAAATTTCACCTACTTTTTTGTGTGTGTATTTATGTCATGCAACATAAACTATATTCCCTTCAGTTTTAACACGGTTAAAAATTTAACTTATGCGGGGTTTTTGACCAAAAAAATACAAATTTCAAAAAAATTCGTATGTTTAGTTCGTTGACCAAACGTTTTACTGAACTAATGCAGGAAGACATGTTTCAGGTGGTTACGCGTTTAGTCGCGCAACTGACACATGCGTATTTCTGACAAATCTGAACACGTCTGTACCAGGTATGTGTCTGAACACGTTTGTACCAGGTGTGTGTTTCTGACAAGTCTGACGAGCACAATACCAAGATGTGTCATATTCAGGCACGCATGTTGCGTCACAGTTAGAAACGCATATCTAGTACAGACGTGTTTAGACACGTACCTGGTACAGACGTGTTCAGATGTGTCAGAAATGCGCATGTGTTAGGTGAGCGACTAAACGCGTAACCACCTAAAATGCGACTTTCTGTGTTAGTCCTTTAAAACATTTGATCAACGAACTAAATAGGTGTATTTTTTAAAATTTATTTATTTTGGGTCAAAACCCCACCACTTATGTGTCCATCTTGATAAGCAATGGGTTTCTTCTGTTTATTATTATGATTCTATATTGTTTCTTTTGTTTTGGGGTCACAATGAGTGTCTTTATTCTTTCAAAAAAGTTATTTTATGACATTGATGACACCAAGATAGAGAATAATGACAAATCAGTAGCGAGTAGTCATAATTATTTAGTTGTGTCGGCTTTTTTATAAAATTGCGGTCGCAATGTGTAGCGACAGCTGCTGCTACTACACTTGGACTTTGAGTGGTCAAATTTGAAATTTATTAGTTTAAAGACGAATTACGGAAGCCATACATTCAAATTTAAAGTCTCCCTATTGAATCATTGATGAATTATTTGGCAAGATTCATGCCCACTGCCCATCAGACTCACTTTCACTGAAGAAATTTTTACTATTACAACCTTTTTTTTTATTTCTTCTTTTTTTAATAAAAAAGTTTAGGATCAAGGTCCCATTTCAAGGTTAAAACAAAGGAAAAAATGTGTGTTATTTAAAAAAATATAAAATTGTGTCATTTTAAGAGAGAGAAAGAGATAGATAAAGAAGGATGGAGAGTTGACAAAAAAAATAAAAGTATGGGTTCTACCTCTTTGTGAAAGTGAAATGATATAAGTTGTGTCGTTTAAAGGATAAATATTTTTTCCTAAAACAAATCATTAAGGGGGTGTTTGTTACAATGGAAAAAAAAATTTGCCTGTCAAATGGGGTAGGGAGAAAACGTTAGCCATGTTTGGCAGAGAGAGAGAGTTAAAAAAATAATTGGAAACTTTTGTGCCCATCAAGTTTTTTTCTACATAGAAACCAACACAAACTTTACCATTCGAAACATGGTAAATAAAGCTGCCTTTGCTGTTCATTGACCAAAACAACTTTTATTTTAACATCAGATTCAGAACATTTCAAATTGTATATTCAAATTGATGGGTAGTTTCATAATTTTATTAATATTTCCATTATTTTTTAACTATCAATCAAACATAACATCAGTAAATTTAACTCAATTTTCTGAAAAAAATTTTAGTCTATCAAACACATTTTTGTAACTTACCCGGCAAAAAATAGTTCCCACCATATTAGTGTCAATTTTTTTTTCCGCTAACAAAAAATTTCTCATGTACCAAATGCTCCCTAACTTCTTCAGATAATCAGTTTCTCAAAAAAATAAAAATAAAATATTTATCGCACTCTTTTTTTTATTACATTTGCATTTTGCGCATGCTACCTAAAAAGTAAAAACAATACTATCTATCTATCTGTTTATTTATCTATATATTTTATAAATATCTAGCTGTCTATCTTTTGCCTGTGGCAATTCTTCAATTTTTTATTATATAATTATTTATAAATTTTGTATAAATTATTCTTCTATTTATGTCTCTACTTTTCACCCTTTCTTAGTTTATTTTAAATATTAATTAACGTATTTTTATTTTTAATAAATTAAAAAAGATATTATTTGTTAATAAAATTAAACATTATTAAAATATCTTAAAATGCTTTTCTATTAGGGGAAAGTGTGTATTATTTTGAAGGACACAAAGTTGTATCATTTTAAGTGAGAGAAAGAGATAAATCATGGAAGAGAAAAATAATGAGAAATTTTTTAAAGAAATGAATCCCACCTCTTTGTGACGGCAGTGGCTGCGACGTTGGCAGTGGTAATGGTGGCAGCCGCGGTGGTAGTGGAGGTGACGACAGTGACTGCGACAATGGTGGTGACTGGTGGGTATGGTGGTTGGTGGCGACAACAATGGTAGCAGTGGCATGGTGGTGGTGGTGGTTGTGAAGGCATCATGGTGGTGGTGGTGGTTGTGAAGGCATCATGATGGTGGTGGTGGCAGTGGCTGCTGCGGTGGTGGTAGGTGACTGTGGTGGTGGTGATGGTGGCGGTGGCGGTGGTGGTGATGGCGTGGTGATGGTAGTGGTGACGTTGGTGTAATGGTGGCGATGGTGGTGGTGATTGGTGGCGGCGTCGACGATGATGACGGTAGTGGTTGCGACAATGAGAGTGGTGGTTGGTGACAGTGGAGGTGATGGTAGTGGTGGCGATGGTGGTGGTTGTAGTGATGGCGATGGTGGTGGTGGTTGCGACGATGATGGTGGTGGTTGATGGCGGTAGTGGTGGTGGTGGCGGCGGTGGTGGTGGTGGCGGTAGTTGTGGTGGTGGTGGCGGCGACAACGGTAGTTGTGGTGGTGGTGACGATGGCATAATGGTAGTGATGGGTGGAGGTGGTGGTAATGGTGGCGGTGGCATCGTGGTGGCGACGACGGCACTAGCGGTACGATGGCGGCGGCGACGACGGTGGCGATAGTCGTGTCAAGATGATGGTGGTGGCGGTGATGATGGTAGAGGTGGAGAGTGATTGAGAGAAATAAGTATTTCTCATTTTGTGGTTGAGAACAAAAAAGCAGAATTTTTCTGATTCTTTTTTCTGTTCCCTAGCATAAAAATTAAACTGGTTCATCCCGGGAACAAAAAAATAAACCAATTTTACCAAACGAGTTTCCTATCCATTTCTGTTCCCGAAAACAAAAATTAAAAAAAAATTGATTCCGGAATAATTGTTATACACACCCTATAAGTGAGTCATTTAGATTTTTTCTTTATTTTTGTCTTTGCCTAGTGAATTTTTCGTTACATGGGAATATTTCGCTTTTAATTACCGCGTACTTACTTGGGAGTTTTTTGTTTTTAAATTTGGTTAAAATCATTTCTTTTTTTAAATTTAAGTGATAGCTAAACATCTTACATTTAAAAAAGTTATTAAGGTTGCGTCAGTAAAATAAAAGGACTTGTGGACTTCGCATGTTATTAGAAATTTAAACCTCATTGCTATGGTTATACAATATGTAAGAAGGCCCGCGATCAACCCATCTCATCCTTCAACGAAGAAGATAACGACTACTGACCCAACAAAATCAACCCACCAGCTTCAGTATTCTCCACATTTGTTAGAGAATAATATAAATTATTAAAAAGACTTTTATTCGATACACTTTAAGATTTTGAATTAAAATAATTCTTTACAAGATATCAAAACTTTAATGACCTCAAGGTCACGAGTTCAATCCTTCACCTTATTTACTTTTAAATGAAATTAAATAAGCACAAGATAAAATAAAAAAATAAAATAATATAAACCTGTGCAATATCCACGCTTCAAGTCTAAAGGGCTCTTGCATAAAGAGTGTGTTAAAAAATAGTACAATGAACCTTATCCAACACCTTAAGATTTCGAGTTGAAGCAGATGATTCTTTACTTACTGCGCTAAACTATCCATGTATTATTTGATCCTTAATTTTATTGAGAAGGAACAAACTACGGGTTTTAAATCCAAGACATGGATTTAATGACTGCTTATAGTAAGTTTTTGGGCATGTCATCTGCTTGCCGAGAGAGCGAGAATTTCATTGCTAACAGAGTCGGATTCTGATGCAAACTTAAGAGGAGTGTTCCCTTCTTTATCTGCGACATGTTGATTGGCCCCCCTGTACATGATTGGCAAAAACTCAGAGTAAGTTTTCCAAAGTGAACCAGAACATATTTACCATGAGCACAACATATCTGAGATAATATATATGAGGAAAATTCCCATGAAGCTGCAGAAATTAAAATGCAATATTTATCAGGGTCTTGTGGTAGAGTTAATTCATGGTCAAGCAAAAATCTTATAATTTGGATAAGATTTCAATTCGACCAACCTAATCTCAAGCCTCTGAATTCCTGTTGGATGGTTATGGTGTACAGCTTAGCCAGGAAAGGGGACAATAATGAATTTAAAAAATGATATTTGCAAACCAAAAAACTTACGCTACTTTTTTTTTCTTTTAATAATAAAAATAAAACTCTAAGAAATAGACTCTAGGTAAGACCGGATAACCCTCACTAACATGGAGTGGTTTAAATAAAACAATAAAAAACATTTCAAAACACCTCTCTTTACTTCTATTTTTCCCAAACAAGCAAAAGTGTAAAAGTAGTATAACTTTTTTTTGTGAACAAACATCATTACTCAATGAATTAATGGGAGAAGTGACAAAAATAATAGAAAAAAAAAAACTATGAAGAAAAAATATGCATGATCATCAAAAAATCATTTGTCAACGTCTAAATTATGTTTTTGGTTCATGCTTCCAAGCTAATTAGTTTACTATGAATCTAAAACGTAGAAATGATGAAAATAATAGTGTTAAACTTATTTATCACTTTAAGGAGTATGGAATTGGAAGAATATATTAATGTGCATTCACATTTTTCAAAGTTCAGCACGTCCTCAAATGTTTAGCATATACAATAAATATACGTAGAACACAATAAGAGTGTGTTTGGTTGGAGGAAAATGTTGAGATAGATGAGTAAGTGAGAAGTGGAATAATTGGGTTGCTCTGTTTGGTTTAGGGATTCTGAATATTTTGCTACCTAAATGAGATTGCAAGCGAAACAACATGGACGTCTAAATGAATGAGAAAGCCAGCTAACAGAACCCCTCTTGATATATGGTATGGTATGTTAGCTAGGTAAATGGTGTTTATAGGCAAGACCGAAAATGACGAGCGTACCCTCCATCGCTATCCCTGCCGGTTTGGGTTCTCTGTTGCTGCTTCTGTTCCTCACTCAATTCCCTTTTGGGGTCGTTGCTTGCTATGGAGACAAGCGCGTACACAGTAAATATTACATGAATGCTCCGCAGAGCAAATAATTGAAATATAATTGGTTTTGAATCTCAGAGCCTCCAGTCATTATACATGAAATGGTAATACAAGAAAGGAACGTCCTATAGCTACTACCTCTATCAAGGGCTGGTGGCGAGACTTGGACTAGTTTCGAGCTATTTTACAGCATCTTCTTCTTCTACAGGGATATTGTGCCAACCAGAAGTTCTCATTGACATAACCCTTGCTCGCTCAAGCCCACTACCTCTAAATCCAGTCATTCACGAAATTTATTGTAAAAACAAATTCTGAATTTTTTATTTTTACTCGGGGTAATATATATGAAGGCAAAAAATTCTTTTGTTCGTGTATAAAGTTTTGAAGTTTTGGGATTGTTTTAAATCTTCTGTAATAATTTGCAGCAATAAGAGGAGCGTGGGAACATCTGATGTTTTTTTGTTAGTTGTTCCTCCGCTCTTATATATTTCAGTATTTGCTTTTTTAAAAACAGGGTTATTTTGGTAATACCAACTTGTTTCTCATCTATATTTTACCTCCAACCAAACATAGATTTCATAAAAGTTACTTAATTTCCCCGATAAATTTTTTCCCAACTAAACAATTTTTTTTTACATTTTCCTACCTATCTCACTTTCTAACCATTTCCCTATGTATAACATTTCCCTATTATTCATAAAATTTCTCCTCAACCAAACGCCCCGTGAAGGTTGGGTGTCTTTCTCTAGTTGGCAGTGTAATTGATTATTCGACGACTGTAGCGTGAATTCGGGTATAGATTACATCCTCTTGCAAATTGCAAGACTACTAAGTACTTATAGACCCACACCCACACAATGATCTTATATATATATATATATATATATATGAGGCAGGATCCTTTGACACCGGTGTCAAATTTGAAGTTTGACACCGGATCTGATAACCGTCAGATCAAAAAAGATCAATGGTGTCACATGCTTACAATTTAGAATCGTTGATCTTTTTTGATCTAACGGTTCTCAGATCCGGTGTCAAACTTCAAATTTCAAATTTGACACCGGTGTCAAAGGATCCTGCCTCTCTCTATATATATATATATATGAGGTAGAATCTTTTGACATCGGTGTCAAATTTCAAATTTGACACCTCATCTGAGAGTCATTAGATCAAAAAAGATCAACGACTCTGATTTGTAAGCATATAACACTATTGATATTTTTTGATCTAACAACTCTTAGAGGAGGTGTCAAATGATTCTATCTATATATATATATATATAATCTAAGAAAGCATCCAATATATAATTAATTACCTGGTAATAAGGACTTTCGCAGCTTCGGTCTTCGTTCTGATAATACAGTAATGTAGTGGTGTACGACCGCTTGAATCATAAGCATTTATATCTGCCCCACGCTGTAGGAGCAGCTCCACCATGCCAACGTCACCAGTTAGGCAGGCCAGGTGTAGCACACTAGAACCATCTTTTATATCCTCAATCAACCGATTTTCATTTTGCGATGAAATGTTTGAATTACTTGAAGAAGCCACGTTAAAAGAGTCACCTCCTGTACAGAAACTAATTATTCGTACGGGACTTCTTGGTTTTTCAAACAGCAAAAACCTCCCTGAAGTTGACAATTCTGGGATAAGAAGACATACCAGATAATGCTTGCCGACTGATGGCATTGACATCCACATCTGACTGGACAATATGCCGGTATACCGCTTTCTTGTCATTGGCGTAGATGCTTTCCCACACCTGTTGTGCCAGTGAAAAGGTAGGGTGGTTTTTCGTTGTCCGGCGAACAAAGATTTTCTCAGAATACTGCAATAAGAAACCATTTAGTTCTATCTCCGGGTATTAAACTTCCGTCAAGTAATACATTTAGACTAAAATTGTTATTAAATGCTAGATGTTTTTAACAGAGGGAGAAAAATTAAATCTATCGAAGTTTAAATAAGAAATAACGCAGTTACTAAATATCCAATATGTGCATTTTTTGATAGCACTATCTAAATGCATTTCGGGTTTCAAACATCATTTTGCACTGTAGGAAAGTGAAGGTGAATTGGCTAGGCCGAGATTTGATCTGGAGATCAAGTAGTCCCCAAAGGACTTTGGTAAAACTTGACCATTAAGTTCAATAGAGTTAAAGTTAAAAAAAACCACAAACAAAAAAATGAGATAGTTCATGGTTAATCATTAAAGTTTTCCTTTCTGTTTAGTACTCATGCAAACAAAATCCAGAATTATAATAGGTTAATCATTAAAGTTTTCCTTTCTGTTTTGTAATCATTAAAGTCCAAACAGAATCATTCGTGCATCAAGGATTTGGTCATTAGAGTTTACACTAGGAAGGGTAAACAATGATGTAGACAATCCATTATACTTTGTGGGTGTACACTCAAGATTGGGGAGTGTGAGAAAGAATTGTATTATGGGGTAGGGGATTCGGTCATGAGGTCATGAATAAAAGGGGAATGGGTCACGTAGGAAGGTAGGCAATGGGGGGAGTTGTTTTGACAGCATTTGCTGAGTGAGAGAGAAGGCCTCTACAAGTGCCATTTTCATTTGTATTTTATTTCTGTTTTACTGCATTACCACTGCTCTCTCTCTCTCTCTCTCCCCCCCCCCCCCCCCCCCCCCCCCCCCACCCATCAGATTACTTTTGACTTATCTATCTTAAGCATTCTTTCAGTATTAATTATTCTCAAAAGTAATTGTACAAAAATTATCCAAATCCACCCGCTATTTTCACATTTTAGAAAAAAGAGAATTGAACAAATGGATAGATGTCTAAAATGTAGTGATAAAGAATAAATGGTCTGCTTCTACGCATCTGTTCTCCACTTCACCTACTTTATAGTGACGTAACATGGGACAATATGATACAAGAGTTCATACTTTAAGCAGCAGAGTTTGAGAATTTGAGTTAGCAATTGACGATAGCAGTAAAGCAAGCAGTCAAGCTTATCTGGTCATTCAATAAAATAAGTTTAACATTTTTTGGCGAAAAATAATATGCTACTCTAAACTCTAGAACTTGTTGACCAAAACCTGCACTCTGAACTCTAATACAATACGGCCATATACTCTATCAATGAATATAACTATTGTTCATAATCAATTCTCCTAAAAGCTTAAGCTATGTGAAGATTCATTAGTGGTTTTATTATATCTCTGATATCTCCTTCATACAAAAGCCCTGCCCTTTGAGTTTGAAATGTGGACATTGCATAAATCTATTTTTACATGCGTTGAAAGAATTTGGGAGGCAAGGATTGGGATCTTGACCACTTGGTCAAAGATATTCAGATATTGTGTCAGAACTAACTCTTCCAAAAGCTTAAGCCATCATGTAAAGGTTTATGTTCTTACATGTCTGACAATTACGTGGTGATTCATTTCCTTAATAAAATAATAATTCAACTGAAAGATATTATTATATTGGTCACAAAACAGGATATCTGCAAACCAAATATGCTCCAGAGATCAACATATCAGGTCCCCAACGTCCAAGAAAGTTAATACCACAGAAACAGCTAATCAAGGTTAGATTTCTTGAATCTCTTAACTATTCCTCAGGATATCTTTAGGTATGCCAAACTTCATAGGTATTACAATAGAATACATTTACTTGATGTTCTAATCTGGAAAAAGGTTAAGAATTCTTTACTTCACAAATTTGAAGAATTCACTTAAAATTTTCTAAGTTTACCTTTGCGTGAATGAACCTCTCCTTTAATGAAATAGACTCATCATGTTTTGGTTTTCTTGCATGAAATGGCTTGTCTATGTCTGCCTTGGATGAACTGCATTTCAGGTGCTTATTAGCGTAAGTTCATACAGTTAATCCCTTCAATTTTTGCAATACTTACCCAGAAGAGCTGTCATCAGTTTGCAAAGTACTCGTCGAAGGTAACAGCTCCTCCCAAACTGAGTTTGCAAAGAGATTGCCTAGTGACTTGAACATGCTTAAGACAGAGGGGTCCCATACTTTCACATCAAGTGTCAGTGATCGTACCTGCCAAAAATGTTTGATTTTGTTTTCCCATTTAACGATAGAATGTGGCTGAAATTTACAATGAATACTGTTGAATAAAGGGGAACAAAAAAGAAAGAGAGCGAGAGAGAAAGAAGAAGAAAGCAATGCCAGAGTAAATTTATAAGTAATTAATTGCTTATAAGGCTTATATTTACAGGTCTCATATGATGGTCATTAATCAGTTTTTATCTTTAAGTATAATTCGCTTTTCTTTTTTGTACTGCCTGCATTCGTACTCAGACAACGATAGTATAATACTCTAACAATCATTCTTCAAACCCTCTTCTGCTAACCTGATTCCCTAGATATAAATTTTTGAGGTTTGCAAGATTATGTTGCATGCTTTTATTTAGTTTGCATAGATTAATTGTTGTCAATTTGTCTCCACATTTTGCAGAGTTGGGCCTTGCTAAATGCTAAGCTTAAAGAAAGAAATTGAGTCCAAATAGCGTATCTAAGACATGCACTTATTTTCACCTTATGATGGTTTGAACGACTACCAATATATTTCTCTGTTTACATGCATACAACAAAACTTTAAATATATACTTTAATTAATATTTTTCTTAAGGGTAGCTATTGATAGCTAGACGGTGAGGGCTTGAGGTAGCAGGTCACAGATCCTTAAAAACTGTCTCTAGCTTTTAGTCAGTCAAAGTTGATAAGACATGAACCATATACAACAACAAAGGGTAAAAATATATGTACAACCTAAACTACTTACTTTTGATATATGTACACCAAGATTACGATGAACACCAGAACATTCAATGCATATAAGGATGCCGAGGTTTAAAGATGCCCAGTCTGGTTCAGGTTTACCACAATCAGCACATTTGTCATTACCGCACACCCTTCTAAGAACATCAATTGGCTTTTCACTACTTATGCCGTGTTTATGCAACTGCATACTTTTAGACGAACGTAAATGGTTATCAGGTGTGGAATTCTTGGATGTAGCCTTCTCATTCACTGTGCGATCATTATCTGGAGAACTTTCTACCACATCAACCTTGTTGGCAGAGTCAGAGTCACCGTTTTCTGAGTCAGCTGAGAGAGTCTGTCACATAATTGTTTTATAATTATAGTAATCAAAATTAGTACGGGCATCAAAAGATGCATTTAAAAGAAAATTTTACTGTGTACCGTTCCCAGTGTCTGGACACTCAACAAGGAGGAAATTACTCCATTTATCTTTTCCATCCAATCCATCTGGTCCAGTGCATTTTCTGCCTGCACTGCTTTCCTTAGTATCTTCAGAAGTAGTTATAAAAGCCCAAACTATGTGTTGATAAAGTTTTGGAATAAATACCTGCAGTGTATAGTTCTTGGATGGTGAAATAATCCTGAAGCAGAATCTTAAATCTGACTGATCAGCATCAGCCTTGATTGTTGACGTCAGCAGGTTTACTGTATGACGGGCTTCATCATGGACACCCCCATGGTAATGAGAGGAAAGCCATCGACTCAGAAGCCCAGAACCATTTTCCGTGGCACTATTCCTCTTTGGAGATGATTGATTGCTGCCCTGAAATGGTATGCACAGATTTATTAAGAAGAATGGGCGTTACCTAGTTTAGTGTATTAAAAGTTAAGTATTAGTTGGTGACTTACATATGACCCGTTCCATGGTTTGCGATAGTAGTACAACATTCCTCGACTATCAAGAACAAAATACCTTCTTTTCCAGTCACCCCTCAAACTGGAGGATCGTTTCGAAAGATACCCTTGTCGAATGATTTGAACCTAAATTTTGTGCAGGAGATGAAAAGATGCCAATGGACCAGACACAGAATGTTATTTTTGGCTAGTAACAGGACTTGGGATCTAGAAATTATAAAATGAAGTAAATACATCTTCTCAGAGAAAGAGGGAAACGTCATATTCTAAAATACCTTTCCACTTGCGGCAGATTCCGTTACGACATATACCACTTCATTTGATATCCTAGAAAAAGGATGCACACAGTCTGCACTAGGAGAACCATAAGGGCCATTCAAGGACATCCTACTTTCTTGATAAACTTGTCTTTTGTATTCTTGCATTCTTTTATAAAGTGAAATCTGCTCCTTATTGTAACTTTCTCTTGACTGTTGTACATAATCCAAAACCTGCAACATAGCTGAATCAAATATTTTGGCATTCTACCCCTTACCTCTTGAGCAAGAAGTTAAGAAAAAGGTTCCCAAATTTCAATAACCGTTAACAATGCCCACCCCTTGGACCAATATCATGCCTCACATGAAGGACTATTAGGTCTTATAAGTTTCTCCTTTTAGCCATTAGATTAATAGTAGATTATTTTTAATTAATGCAAAAGAAAATTGATTCTAAAAGAATAAAAAAAGTGCCTCAGATACAGGAAAGAAGATCTTTCATTCAGTCAAAATAAATTAGGAACACTAATCATAGCTTCAAACCAAAAACTTTGCTCTATACTTCAAAAAGTAAACATGTCACAGTGGTTAACCGGTGGGTTACATATTTGGATGACCCCACCAATAATTCAAATGTGTTATACTAACCTAATATGTTAACAATATGTTAACAATTTCAAATGTGTTATACTAACCTAATAGTCAGATGGTATATACATTAACTGTGTGTATCATCTTCTTGATCTCCCATGGATTTTAGTTTTAGAGAAATCAAAAGAAAATTACATCTACTTATCAGTTGAAAAGAACTATATGTACTATCAGCGGTCAAATTAAAAGCAAAAATATAGAACTAATATCAAAACCTCGCCAACGAAAGGTTCCATCTGATGCAATAGCTGATATCCCTGCAAGAGAAAGAATTTTCAGAAACAGCGTAAGTGCTCTACATATGGAAAAGTGCCATATATATGACTATGTCAGACACCTGCTGAAAGTATCGAAGATGAGCATCCATTATTCCAGTGACAGCCTCTAAAAACTCAAATCTCTTCTTGGCCTCGATGTTATTAACAGCACCAACCTAGATGATGAAATATGTCATGTAGTTAAGACCTAATGATACACTGTACATCTTACTCAAAGTAAACCCTCGTGCAACTAAAAATACCAGATTGAAACGGGCTTCCTCAAATGACGTTCTTGCATTCTGTAATTCCTGGAATGTCTCTAGACCAGATTAGATTCAAAAGGATCATAGTAACTCATGACAAGCTATTGGACTAATTTATAAACAAAAAATGCCGAAGAAAAGCTACTGGAAATACCTCTTCTGTGGCAGTAACAACATCAATCTTAGTGCTTTTTCTCAATGACATAAACTTTTCACGTGCCTGTAGCACAAAATCCACATTCCTTTTGTGTTATGATCAAGAGATATGTAGGTGACTGTCAACAGCTTATACACACACAAACTCACGCATCATATTCCTTCCAAAGTACTGCAAACTCAAATTGAAATTTTAATATGTAAGTTGCCAATAAAAAGCCAAGTATTTTTGCAGAGTAGCAACTCCAGAAATTGCGTGAGCAATTGATTATATGGAAAAAAAAATGATAGTACCTTGAAATTCGACCAAATGAAATAACTGAGATTGGACCTAGGGAAAAATTGAAAATTTCAAGCATACAACTACAAGGTCGCTTTCCATTATCTCATTTAATTATTTTCATCAAAACCCAAATTCTAACTCTCTAAATTATCAAATTTAGAAGCATCAACACATAAAATTCAACAAGTGAATTGGAGATTTTAAAACATAAATCAATCCATGATAGTCCTTAACTAAGAAACATCTTGACAATACAGATATTGATTGAAAAGTTAATTGTGAAAATAAATAATATTGATTATATTATTCCTAGTATAAAGGTGGGCGAACCGGAACAGTGGTAAAGTTGTTCTTTCATGAGTGAAAAGTCATGGGTTCGAATTCAAGAAACAACTTCTTTGCAATTATGTAAAGGTAAAGCTGCGTACAAGGATTGCCTCCACTCTATACTCGCTAGTCGGATTTATCGGGAAGTGGTTTTTGGTTTTATATTATTCCTAGTATCAGTTAACAAGAGAAGCAGTTACGCTTCTTCTCATCGAGTAAATTATATAGCTCACAAGTAATACACATGTAGCTGAAGGAAAGAAAATCTATTGATCAGAGTTCATTACGTTGGGCAACCTTTGCATGAAAATGAGAAGTACCTGGTCATATACAGGGGAAGCTTTGTCAAAAAGCTTCCGAGCTTCCTGCAAGCATTCCTTGAAGCATTAGAAGAAAAGAAAAAAAAAGGGTATACCAGTCATATGAAATTTTCACCGTGATTAGTTTAATTGATATTCTTAAAATGAAGTTATTTCATCACGGTTTTTAGAGTAGTCATAATTTCAACTCTTCTCTCCACTATCTCTTTATGTTAAGAACCACTTCAACCCAAAACCTTAAGGTGTTGGGTGAGGGTCTTTTTAATGATTTATATTATATTCTCTAACACACCCCCTCACGCAAGAGCATACCATGTTAAGAACCAATTCAACCAGAGCTGTTAGGTGAGGGTCTTTTTAATGATTTATATTATATTCTCTAACACTTTATCAAAATTACATTGCAGTTAGCAAGCAAAAAATAACGACATTTTTTAATCATTTAGATTTAAATAAACAGAAACTGATTATTCCCCCTGTAAGCCTAGGAAGTAAAGCATTATTCATTTTGTTCAAATAAGGTGCTCAAGGACTATGAGCAGCATTTCGATTATGGTCAAGAACACATTGTTCCAGATCATTTCTTCAGCTAAAAGTTGTCATCTAGAAGAGATTGGAAATGTTTGAACCTTAAGGTTTGGTTTGTTTAAAGTTTCGATTTTGAGCCACTAGATTTTTGACAATATTGCGAGGCAATTTGATTAGGAGTATAATAGAAGGAATAGGCAGGGGTGGACCAAGCCAATTTGGCTTAAGGGGTGCAAAGAGAAAATGCTATTGATTGGAGGTCTATTATTTTAATTTACATGCAAAATAAAAAAAAATAAAAAAATGGAGTGGCTAATAATATACCACAACTCTCCACCCTAAGAAATAGGATGTTTTAAGATAGTTAAAACTTTCTTAGAGCTTGGTGTGATAATCTTATCTTTTTAACAAGAGGGAAAATATTTGGTATTCTATAGTAATTGGATACAATAAATTATCTAGCTTTGTGATAGGAATTAGTGGCTTCATTTAAAAATCAATGTACAAACCTTATTCAGTGCGTAAAACAGATGTTTGATTTCATTTATGGCAAAAAAATGTGCATGTTTTATGAATGGAAGCCTTGACATCATAATTTATAAAGATTGACAAATTCCTCATCAAGTCAAGTAACTTGGTTAGTCAATTTATTGCCAAGCATGTTCTACATTTTTGACAAGGCTTGGTGAAGAATACTTTGTTGAGTTAGGTGGTGCATCTTTGTGACTTTGTCTATGCATGTGAAGTAGCAAGCCTATAAAGAAAGGCTTGCTGAAACCTTGTAAAGCATCCATTTATGTGATCCCATCCCCAAAAAGAATCTACTTAAGGAGCTCTGCAACCCTATTTTTTTTATCTTCCCTCATATCCTGGTGTTTTCTTTGGATGAATTGCTTCCAAATTTTTGACTTTATACAAAACCCCTTACAGCATGTTTCCTATGGTTCCTTCGTCCAACCCTAAGGAGTGTTGAGGAGTCGAATCAAAGAGTGAATTAGATTATAAAACTAGGATATCATTTGGGTAGGGATCATCATAATGAAAATTTGAAATTACTTAATCTTATCGTTCCTTTACCTCTAACTACAGTGTTTCAAGCTGTTAATCACAGCCATAGAGTTATTAATAGATTTACCCTTTTGTCTAGGTTTGGACTTTGGACTATCTTGGACAGCCACTAGAAGCTAGGAAGTAATTGGGTACCATACTAACAAGTTTTCCCTTAAAGAGCTTTGGATTGTATGCAAGTACTTGGAACACTCTTGTTGCTGCCTTTTAGTATCACCCTACTTTAATTAAATTTTGTCGAAATTTTATGACTGAAGAAAACTGAGAAAATGCAGGAAAGGAGATTGGAGAGGTTGAGGGAATATGAATATAGTCCATTAATTCAACAGCTGATAATCTGATACATAGTACAATCTATTTATAACAGATAACAGAAACTGAATAACAGCTTCTAACTAACTCAACAGAATCAGCTCCCTGTCTGCAACTGACAGTAATGCGCCACATGTTGGAATGACATTATCTCTTACAATAAAGGTGAACATCCTGAAATTTCTAAACGCAGCCTGAGTTATGAACTTTGAGCTAAAGGATCTCTAGTTTTGAACTTGTTTTACTATATATAGTTATAATATATTTACCATAACTGACTAGATAAGTATTGGTATCTTGAGCTGAATTTCGGTTATGATCATAGTTATTTCTTCCTATTTTTATAATTTTGAGTATTTTCTCCTATGACGAAATACATGAGCTATGTTGTTAAATATTGGTATTGAGCCTCTCCAATTGTCTAGTCTTCGTTGTGAGTCTTGTCAATTATGAAAGCACACACATAGCCCATTTTCTAATAGAGTCTACAGTCAAGCTGCCTCTCCCTTTGCTTTGGTTCATTCTAATGTTTCGGGTTCTAGTCGTATTGTATCCACTTTAAGGTCAACATACTTTATTACATAGATTACTCTCTCCTTGTACTTGGTTATTTTTTTATGCAAAATAGGTCTGTTTGGTTGTGTTTGGCACTGTTTGGCTGGGTTTATTGGTAACAAGATGAGAGCTTAACAGCTTCATCTTCAGGGGGAGTGTTAAAATATTAAATATTATTATCATTTATGTTAGAATATATAGTCAACAATAATTATCTTGATTAGCTAGTGATTAGACTACAGGTTAGCCACTGATTATTAGGTTTTAAGTTAGCGTCTAAATAAGAAATTGTGTATGGGCTGCACATATCATGCTCTTTATGCTTTACTTCATCTAGTACCCACTGATCTACATCTCTAGAGAATGAGTTAAATTACTAGCCTTTACACTTTTCCATATGCTTATATGCTCCTAATTTCATTGATTATTTGAGGAGTTCCTTCCTCACCAGACAAATTATTTATCTATTCCCTTTGTAATATTCGTTTAGATATGCAAAAAAGAACTGGACATAGTAATTTCATTTTATGTGAGATTCCATATTGTTAAATACAAATTGAAGTCTTGTCACATACCAAGAGCCATAAATTACATCTCGAGAGAGAGGAAGGGGAACGCCATACTGCTTTATGACTTATATGGATTCACTAGAGAAACTACTGAAGCTAACTGTAGTTAAGTCATATCATTAAGTATGACGGCTTAACATTCTACAGGTTTGGTGTATAATAACCAACACCGTTATGTATAAACCACTCCCTATTAAACCTCGACTAGCGAGGGTGGGGTGAGGGCAATCCTCGTATACAACCTTACCCTAACATAATTGCAAAGAGGCTGTTTCCTGGATTTGAACCTGTGACCATTCAGTCACCAAGGAACAACTTTACCACTGCTCCAGGCTCATCCTCTTAACACTATTATGTATAAACATTAAAACAATATCAAATGCTCACAAGATACCTTGACTTCATGGATGTCCACATTGATAATGTGTAGTAACCGGTCATTGAGCACGTGCTCTACCTAGGAAGCCATATTAATTATAGTCAGCATAACAATATCAATTAGAACAGTTGCCTCTAATTTACTAGGGAAAAAAAATCCCAGCCATCATCAAGTGACAAATTAGCTCAAGTTTTAAGTTAAAAGACAGCAAAGCCACAAGTTTCACCAATATTCAAGTACTTTTATTTTACTATCATTGGTCAATATTTCTTTTAAGCTATGAATAAACCTGGCCTAGGACCAGGGCAAGGAAAAGAGGCTATGTAGCAAGTATTATGATTTGAATATGCACCTGAATATCATAAATTTATTATTATTCAATGAGGAATAGGTACAGCCAACACGTTGTGTTTACAAACAAGATAGTTGAAAGTATACAAAAAGGGCATCCCTCTACTAGAACAAGCAGCCAGTAAAATATAAAATCTACCCTTGTATGTACTGCCGAAAAACAAGAAAGACAATGTCAACATCAGATAAATCATTACTTGTGACCGAAGAAGTTCCTTGTATGTACTGATTTCTCTCAAAGCAATAGTAAATTTGTCCATAACAGATCCTGGGAATATCAAAACAAAATTTATCAAAATCAATAGCAAAGATAAGTTTCATGTAATGAAACTAAATGCAAAATTATGTACATTGAATGGAAGCACAGAGGTTTAAACAAGCAAGGGCAAAGAGTAAATCAACAAAACATGCTTTAGAATATATGTGGCAACTTTGACCGTATTTCCTAAGGGATTTTGGAAGCTCGGTTAATGGCTTTAAAGTATTATGCACAGCACTGGAGTATACCTCCAGCAACAATATGACTTGTTATACTCAAGTGTTTTGACTGAATAACTTAATTTCTTGATTCATTGAGACCCAATGGGTCCTTTTTATATTGAGTACAGTGAGTTACACCAATAAATAGCAACAGTAAACTAAGAGACTTATTTACAATAACAAGAGACACTAATAAATAAGGGAACAGATAGCAAAAAAGCAATAAATGATAAATCACAATCTAGAATATTCTACACTCCCCCTCAAGTTGGGAGATATATATTGATCATTCCCAACTTGCTGATCAATCTTCAAAGGTCAGCTTAAGTAATCCTTTGGTGAGAATATCTGTCGTCTGTTCCTTGGTAGGTATATATGACAAGCATACACTACCGTCTTCTATTTTTTCTTTGATAAAGTGACGATCAACTTCCACATGTTTTGTTCTGTCATGATGAACATGGTTTTGAGCAATGCTGACAGCAGCCTTATTATCACAATATAATCTGATAGGTAGGGAATAAGAGATCTTCAACTCCTCCAGAAGCCTTCTTAACCAAATTCTTTCACAAATACCATGGGCTAGAGCCCGAAATTCCGCTTCTGCACTGCTTCTTGCAACAACATTTTGTTTCTTACTTCTCCAGGTCACAAGATTTCCCCAGACATAAGTACAATATCCTGAAGTAGATCTTCGGTCCATTGCAGAGCCAACCCAGTCTGCATTAGTATAAATTTCAATCACCCTTTTGTTCCCCCTTTTAAAGAGAATTCCTCGACCAGGGGTGTTTTTGAGGTACTTGAGAATTCTATAAACAGCACTAAGGTGTTTTTCCTTAGGAGAATGCATGAATTGGCTAACCATGCTCACAACAAAAGCAATATCAGGACGAGTGTGAGACAAATAGATTAATTTCCCCACTAGTCTCTGGTACTGCTCCCTATCAACATGTTCCCTGTCCTCAACTCCTAACTTGATATTAGCTTCAATTGGAGTCTCTATCGGCTTGCACCCAAGCATACCTGTTTCTTGCAACAGGTTTATAATGTATTTTTTCTGAGTTAAAGAAATTCCTTCCTTACTCCGAGCAACTTCCATGCCAAGGAAATATTTGAGAGATCCAAGATCTTTTAGTTCAAACTGGTCAGCTAAACATTTTTTTAAAGAGATTATCTCCTCGCTATAATTACCAGTGACAATTATGTCTTCAACATAAACGATGAGAATAACAATTCTACCTTTGTCGGAGTGTTTAAAAAATAAAGTGTGATTAGTCTGAGCTTGGGTAAACCCCCTCCCCTTAACAGCTTGAGTAAATTTCCCAAACCATTCTCTGGGAGATTGTTTAAGTCCATAGAGAGACTTCTGCAACTTGCACACAGAACCATCCCCTTTTTCAAAACCAGGAGGTCGATCCATGTAAACTTCCTCATGTAGATCACCATTCAAGAAGGTATTCTTAACATCTAACTGTTGCAATGGCCAATCAAGGTTGGCGGCAAGAGATAGCAGAACGCGGATAGTGTTAAGCTTGGCAACAGGAGCAAATGTCTCCTGATAATCTATCTCATGAGTCTGAGTAATATTCTTTAACAACTTCCCAAATTTCTTGAGCCGTATCAAGAAATATATAAGTTTGACTGATATCTGGTTCCATAGAATTAGTCAGCCATGTCATGACCAAAGCATTTTCAGTCACCCAAGCATCATATCCAGGTTCACGTTCTGCTGGTTTTACCTTTTTTCCGTCAAGATACCCCATCTTCCCTTTAGCCTGGATAAACAACTTAACAGATTGACACCATTGCACATAGTTCCTACCGTTTAAACGGTGATTGGTGATCTGCATTGTTGGGTTGTCTCCAGAAGACGAAGAGTTAGGAAAGGGTGAGGTTCCGGACAAAATTCAAGACGAATTTTTAAAACTTTCAGCGTCCATGGCTTTCTAACAACAGGTACCCAGAAAAAAAGTTCTTCCAAGTACGATTTTGACCCTCAAAATAGAATAGGGGGAGGTAGACGATTAGAACGAGGTATGACTCGCCGGAAAAAAATGACGGGAGGGCGGCGCGTGGATCACACGCGCCGGCAAGGCTGCAGGTTGGTGGCAGCGCGTGGAGGAGTTTTCGGCGACGGGTCTTTTGTGGGCTGGCTCGGAATTTTGTTCTGAACCTAATGGTGGCCTTGGTTTTGTGGTTGGAGGTGTTTAGGTAAGGATTCTGGCTTTGGCAGTGGCAAAAACGAAAAAAAAAAAAGGAATAGGAAGAAGAAAAAAAATATCAGAACAGGGAAGAGACTGGAATATAACCAGCTCTTGATACCATGTAGAAAAGAAGAAGTGTTTTGACTGAATAACTTAATTTCTTGATTCATTGAGACCCAATGGGTCCTTTTTATATTGAGTACAGTGAGCTACACCAATAAATAGCAACAGTAAACTAAGAGACTTATTTACAATAACAAGAGACACTAATAAATAAGGGAACAGATTGCAAAAAAGCAATAAATGACAAATCACAATCTAGAATATTCTACATAACCCAAGATAACCTTCAAGTAAACATGTTTCCAGTTATTGCTTCTTACTTAGCATATCACAAAGAAAGTCATTTAGTTTTATGAGACAGTGCAAGTGGTGGGGAGAGACCAATAAGGCTTACCTCCCAAAGCAACAAAATGAGGATCACTATTCCCTCCTCCAAAATTTTCAAGGGCACTTGCAAATGCGATGTCCCCATCATATGCCTCTCCAAGCCCTTCCCTATAAAAGTATTAAAAATACCAGGCAATAAGAATTTTTAAGAACGCAAGGACTGTGATTACTTAGTCAGCCATAGTGGTCAAAAGTATTCCTTGATTAGATCAAATATCATGATATAAATTGTTCTGTAGTTCCAATACATGTAGGTAGTATCTTATAAGATTTTTTTTAAACAAGGCTCTTACCCAGTTCACAGTAAACAAGAAAATCTATAGCTTTCTTTCTCCTTGTTCCTACTCTATTTTCTGATATAACTAGTGAACTCTAGACCTTGTGCACCCACCCTGTCCAGACATATTTTCCTCTTACATCCAAAATTTGAAAAATTTTCAAAGCCATATATTTAAAAGCTCTTTACATATGATTTTGGATCCATTTGGAAAAACAATGAAGCAGTTAGTACAAGAGAGAGTTTTTAGCTACTTAGTTGTTTGAAAATTTTTAGGGATGGAAAGGTGATACTAAAAGAATCTTTAAAAGAAGTTGTATTTCACTCTAGGCGCATTTGCTTGCTTGTTGTTATTATTGGTCAAGATATAAATCTAAAACTCAAGAATTACTATGTTGTTTGAATAACAGTATGCATTCAATGAAATGTTGAAACATACAATTTGAACATCAATATCCTTTTTGAATTATTTTAAACTGTTGAGTTGCTGAGAGTACCTAAGGTTAAGGGTCTATAAGCCATGATAAAACCTCGTAGATTTCAAGTTTCAACTTGTATCCCCCAATGGTGAATGAGTTCAAGGAAGTTAAGTGAGAGTAGATGGGGGGGAGTTTGCTCAACTTATTTTATTTTTTTTAATTTTGGATTCATTGAAGTCTCTGCCTACTTAGGAGTATAATGAGTCTCTACTTGCCCTTAAAACTTCACGTGCTTGTAATTTTCATTCCAATAGAACAAACTCATATACAACTAACTAGGTAATCCCACAACAAAAGTACAACAGTGCAAAATTCAAATCAACAATGAGATGGATATAAGGAAAACCTACGTATACTTTCGACATCCTTTGTAGAACTTCCAGCATCTAGAGCGTAATGATTCTGCACTTTCCTCCGAGCACTGGAGCTGCATCCACAGCCATTCATGATTTATAAATTAAGCAAACCAATACTTTTCAACACAAAAACCAAACCACAAAACACATTCTCTCCAACGCTTTTTACAATCAATACAATACATCCTCTTCAACCAAATTTATCTATCTGTATCATAAGATCAACACAATCGTTCAATCCGAGAATCAAATTAAGACCGCAACGAAAATGATAAGAATGAAACAGAAGAATGCGAGGAGAACCTGTTGGCGGAACATTGGAGTGTCGTCGAGACTTGCGAAATGCATTTTCCAAATATAAAGCAAACGACGATTCTTCTTCTTCTTCTTCTTCTTCTTCTGTTTCTTCTGTTTCAGAGAGAAAGGAATCGCTGTGCATCTAACGGTTGCTTCTAGAGAAAGAAACTGAGAGAGCGATGAAAATAAAACAAAATAATAATAATAATATTATTATATATTTGGAGCGCATTTGGAGGGAGATCAGAGAGAGACAGTTAACAGTGCTTGCGATATTTCATGCCTGTCGCTCACTCCAAATTCTCTCTCTCTATAGAGATCCTCTGCCAGAAAACAACATGTCGTTTTTTGTTTGCATTACAAAACGACGATGGCGTTGTCACTCTGTCCGGGACAGAGCAGACACCTCTCACTATCATTCCTTACTCCTCATGAATCAATCGTTTTCTCACTCTGGGATGCTCACTGGTGCATTCAAATTGTGGTTCTTCCAAATTAATGCACCACGTGAAATTAGGTGTAGATTTTGATATATGATCCTTAACTTTTTTTCTCCCTTATTTATTGAACTTTATTGAAGCTAATATGTAATAATTTTTCAAACTTCATTTAACCAATTATAAATTATGAAAACTAAATAGCATAATGATTAATTTCCTACTTTGATATGGAATTTAATTTTTAGACTCTAATTAAGATATTCTTACAGACCTTATAATAAGAATAATCCTATTAACATTCATGTTTCTATTGATGGACCTTTACAATGACCAAAAATAACATAAGGTAGGTGATTGAGGTTTCCTTCCAAAAATAAATAAATGAATAAGCATCTAACCATTGTGTTATGGCCTTTGCGATGCATCAAATGTTACGTCGAGTCTCCTTTGAGTAACTTCGTAAACCTCCCAATCCATAAGCTTTTTGATAAACTCACTGGAGTATGACCAGAAATTGGTTGATGTGATTTCTAGAGACGACTTTGAACGGAACATTCTTGATGACATAAACCGTACATTCTTGAGTCTAAATTTTAAATTATATTTTTATTCTAAGTAAGATGTGTTTCTCAGCCCAATTTGTATAAAGAAAGTGCATGAATTTTAGGTGTAGATGTATATTTATTAAAAACTTTATTTCATTTGTATATATATTAATCACGTCAGCCCAATTTATTCCTCACTACCTAATATCCCCACACGACTTTACCTATTGGATTTCGGAGTGTGTATGTGTATTGTGTGTTGAAACTTATGTCACTTACACCAGTGATATTTTAATAATTTATGTAACTTACACCAGCGGCGGACCCAGAAAAAAAAAATTGTGTCCGCATATTTAGTGGTGGAGGTTCGGGGGCGGCGTCTCCAATTTTTTTTTGTAAAGACAATTTAGATTAACACTTTATGTACAAGGTTATGAACTCGCTCATAATCTAGTTGCTTCCATAACAAGCTGCAAGCAATAGTTTGATCAATTATTTCCCTCCTTGGATCTTACGAATCCTCCAAAATAAATATGAGAATATACTCTAGTACATTCATACATCATCATTATATTTTACAGTGGTGAATAAAAAAGTCAACATTACTTGTACAAAAGAAGGCAAGCGAAATCACAGAGAAAACCTCGTCTCTAGATATCAACTTATTTGGAATGTCAGACCTGCAATCAATCCTCTCTTTTTATAAAAATGAAAAAAGAAACAAAGGATGAAAAGAGCATGGAAATGGGTAAGTGACAGGGGAGGAAGAATAAGTTTTCTCTCTAATCAATTTGCGTTGCTAAGTTATTTTAATCATCTCTGTACGTTGCTACGTTGCCAACTAATACAAGAATAAATACTCTTTTTGGTCCCTGACAAAAAATTCGGTCCCCATAATCCCTTTCAAAAAAATTTAGTGACCTGGTCCCTATGGGCTATGAAATTCAAAGTGGACATATTTTAGTCCTTTTGAGTGACTAATGTGAGTCTTTTTTTAATTTGTGAGGGATCACGATTTTAACTAAATTGATCCACTTTGAATTTTTTAAGAACCTTGAAACTAATTTTTTTATAAGGAACTAAAGTGAGGATTGTATTTTTTGTTAAGGACCCTAATATAAATATTGAATCAATAGACAAATAAAAATTTACAAAAAAAGAAGAAGCTAAAATCAAATGTTCATGCCCCTTGTTGGGTCCGCCAATGACTTACACATAATGTTTCCTTCACAGATTAAAAGGCTTTTTATCTAATCCATTTATTTTTGAGAATAGATCCTCTCATGTGAAATAGTGGTCATGTGGTCATGTTATTTGATCACAACCACTCATTTAAAAATTATACATTTTTTTCTCTTATTTTCATCACTAATGAGTGATTGTGATCAAATAACATGATCACATGACCACTATTTCATATGAGAGGATCCACTCTCTAAGTTCATAGTGTCAAGATCACACAATAATTATCTTACCCGAAAAACCCTCGTTTTGCCCAGCAATTGGATGAGCTCGCGCGACTAGGCCATGTTAATGGTAAGTGAATTACACATTTATTATTTCAATAATAGCAATTAAATTAAAACTCACACTCATATGACTCCAACTTGGGTTGAAGATCGGGATGTAAATAGATCAACGACTTCTTAAGACCTATAGTTTGGGTCATTTTTGGCTTGGCCCGTTTTAAAAATAATATATGCTTGAGTTTATTAAAATGTTTATTTAAAAATCAGGTCACAAACATATTTTAGTAAGCCTTCGCCTTAAGCATTTTTTAATAAATAATATTTTATTTTATTTATAATAATATAATATCTTATTATTTTTCAATAAAATAATATCTTGTTATCTATGTTGCTATTTTTTAATAAAATAAAATTTTATGATTTTTAATTTTTCTAATTTTTTGAAATCTTTTCTCTTCTCACTCGACAAACACATTTTTTTTAAACCAAAATTCCTTAGCCGCCACCGCTCTCCTCTCCTTCGTCAAATTTCACTATTCTTCTATCCCTTTTTAACTTATTATACCTTCCAAACCTCCATTCTCACCGTTACTCTCAAGACTTTTTGTAGCTAATAGTAAACCCTTATTCTTTGTATTGTTTGCTCTTTTTGTCTTTGAAAAAATTGCTTTTTTCAAAATTTCCATTAAAAAAATAACATATTATCTGAATTATGTGTATTGTATGCATCTACATATCTTGCTCCTGTTTGTTTGGCATGTGTTTATGTGTGTGATTAATTTTTTATTTATTTCTCTTCATTTATTTAATTATTTTTTCTTGGAAAATTCTTATATAAGTTGGTTGATGGATATCTTCAAAGCTGATGGTAAGTCCCCGTTCTTCATATTTTTTTGCTTTGTATTACAATTTGATTTGATTGATTGTTTTTTTTTTTTTTTTCAATAATGTAGTTAAATTATCAATATTCTGGGTTATGTTTAGCTATTGTACAAAGTAATTATAATATATATTTTATAGAGTGCAATGTATTATTTTTGAAGGCTTAATAGGCTTGATAAGCTAGGTCAGACCTTGTATTTTTTAAAAATAAGTTATCTCAAACTTATAATTTGACTTGTATGAAGCTAATTAGCTAACAAGCTATCTAGACTTGAAATATTTACATAGGCTTAACACATTTAAACTAAAGTCTATCTCATTTACATTCATAGTCGAAGACATACTAGATTAGGTGTTGCTTAAATAGGTTCTAGCATGTTTTGTAAAATGTATGTCACAGTTTTACCTGTTATCTAAGAACAAAACTTTGGTGCATCATATGTACCCAACTCGGTACATCTTTTTTCCAAAAGGAGAGAAAATTTCAATGTGGCGGGAATTTTTTTTTCATAAGTGATAAAAATATACCCAATTGGATACATTCAATGCACCAAAGATTTGTTTGTTATCTAGACTATTTTTTATTTTTTTTATGGGATTAACCTTTTTGTAGAAATAAATAAATAATATGACTCAAAATCTATTTAAAGACATACATTGCATAAAAACCTTTCAAATAAATCAAAAAACATAGATGTTCTAACGATAAAGTAGCTATAACTTTTTTAAAAAAATTACTAAATTTTGTATAATATATAGAATCAATAAACTATGTAAATATATAATTTTTCTATATAATTTAAATATTAAACAAATCTCTACAAAATTAATAAATAAATAATAATAAACAAATAAAGCAACTGTATAGCTACTATAACCTTAGCTTGCTTCAATAAGTATTTCAAAAAGTCACTTATTACCCATTTATGGGTATATCCTTCTGCAAATTAGATACGGCTTGTTCATCAATTCAAGCATTTTCAATAATTCATTGTTTTATCAGTGACTAATTTCCATTACTTCAGGAATACCATGGTGTTAACAGGCTTCGCAGATTACCCACCTCTTAACAGATGGCCCGTATTTCATCCGGTGCACCAAAATCAAATTGGTGCATGTGATACAAATCCGTTGTTGTATAGAATAAATGGGTACAAGACCTACAACTTGTGTGTGCCATATTTAACTGTTTAAGCACCGCAAAAGTAATATCAACCTGGATATGTTGCAATTCTCCGATTTGGTAAAGTACGCGCAAGGCACAATTAGGCAATACTATATTATTTATAAACAGAAAGGTGAGCCTCAGGCAATAACAATAATTTGGAACAAAAATTGTGACCTTACTGATTATGAGAAATGCCAATATTGTTAGATAGGATAAGTAGTTTCAGATTTCTTTAAAGGAAATGGGGCAAAAGTAGCCAAACGAGTTACATAGTTCCAGAGTCAACAACCTTATCTTGTGCAAATTTTGAGACAGCAGCTCAGCTTTTCTAACTAGTTTCTAGCTGAGTTGAAAAGCATCTTGAACTTCATGCTATGCCTTATCAGCTGAAAATATAATTCCAGAAGAGACGCCTCCTGATAATTATATATATTGCACCTCCACGTATCGTGTGTGCTGAATAAAGGGAACTCATTTTGATGTCTTATTTTTCTCCAAAATGAATTAACTGTAAAAATAATAGCTGAAGCTAACTTCTATCGAGTGTTAGAAGTAAAAGCCCGCCCAACTTACATCAAGTGTTATGACAAAGAGAAAATAGTTACCGAAAAATCTCTCCGCTGTAAATTTCCAAATATCTAGACCACCCAAAATTTTTATACCAACATCTCAAAATTCATAACAATATTCAACAAAGGAAACCACCAGATCAGAGTCGAGAATTTTTCAACGTGAAGAACCTAAAACCTAATCAAATATACTCATCCAAATAATCTACTCATTAAGCCGCCCTTCGCTTTTCTATCCTTCTTCATCCTATTTTCAATAGGTGGGAAATCAATCGTGTCAAAAGCCAGGTCCACAACAATAGGATTTCGGGAAATTGCCTGGAAAGCTGGAGGGAGGTCTGTGATGCGAGGTGCACGTTTCACATTTGAATCACCCACAGCAGACTCATAAACATCAAGTTTCTCAAGAAGGAACTTCTCCAACTGAAACAGGTATGGATATATGTTAGAATATATCAATAAATGCTCATGTAAGTACTATTATCTCCTGAGACATTACAAATTCAATAGAGGCGGAACCTTCCCATATGATAATGCATGACAAAAAAATAAAAACCAAAATGGGATCACATGAGAAGTAGAAGCATATGTACCCGCTCAGCTCCAGTCAATGATATATTAGAGATCCCTTCGGAGAGATTCTCTTTTGTCCTCTTCTCCTCCATGATCCCCAACGCATGCTCTATACAACTGTTAGATCGGCACTCAGTGCACAAGTCCACTAACTCTTTCATCATAGTCTGCCAAACCCAAAAACAGGAAAAAAATTACAGAAAATACAACAGCGATCAAATCAAACATGAGGCTTGACTATTATTGGTACGTTAAACTACGAATCTAAAACAACTACCATTAACCCACTAAGCTCCCATCATAAATGTTAGAATATATGAAAAATATCTCATAACATTTTGATTGTCTCTTAGAATAGTTTAGAATATCTTATATGATCTCTTAGGAATAGTTTCCTTATTTTTTTATATTTAATCATTTATTTCCTTATCTAATTAGGATTTGGAGTCTAGTATTAGTATAAATAGGGATAGTGCTTTGTAGCTTGAATCACATCATAACACATCAAATCAATACCAATTTCATATTCTTCATTCTTCATTCTCTCTTTTCTTCCTGCCCTACCAAAATCCGTATAATTTTAACAATAAATTTCAACATACAAAGAATATTCTCAATTTAGAAGAACATTTTACAGGAAATAAAATGAAGCAATTTACTTTTGTAGCATGAAAACATAGTGCACACCCCAAAGTTTTGAGTGTGAAATCGATTATCACCGACAGGGAGGAATTAAACAAAGGCCACTTTTAAAAAGATCTCCTTCAACTAGGTACATATCCAGAGATGGTCATTTATCAGGCCCATGGTCTATCTGAGCATACCACAAGCCTGATAAATTACCATATCTGGATCTATGCCTAGTCAGAGCCCAGAGGAGACCATTATACATAAGGCTTTGTTTAATTCTTTCCCATCGACGACATTCAATTCCACACTCAAAACTTCAGGGTCTACCAAGGGTTTCCAAGATATGGAAATTAGAATGAATATGGGAGAAGGCAAATTTTAGTACCCTACTAGTCCAAGGTTAACATTTGATAAAATATCACAATGCAAATAATAGTGCTAGCATTAATCAGTGAGATGTCCACTAATCCAATCTTAAAAAATAAATGATTAAAATTACCTTATTATCACCATCTAACATTTGAAGCTTTCTTAAGGCATCATCTGCCAAACTGCGAGCACGACAGTACAAAGCATAAGCTTCAGCCCTCTTTCCAGCCACACTGTATGACTTTGCAACATAAAAGCACCTGCAGATAAGTTGTAAGCAGGTATAACCTTTAGTTCAGGTAGCTTCATCTCTTTAAAAAAAGATACGGTTTTGGCTGTACCAACAGCACAGTAGTCATATATCTGCCTACTACTCAATAACCACCCCCCCCCCCCTCTTCTTTCTTCCTCCTCCTCCCCGGGCCCTCAAAGGACAGAAAAAAAGGACTTAATCTTGCTTTCGAAAACATCCATGCATTAACCAAACAATAAAGACAATATTTGCATAATAAATTGCTGCTAACCAATAAGTAAACAACTTTAGATTTATTTCTAAAGTATGCTCATTTGTTAAGAGATAAAAATACAAACTTTAAGGATAGGGAACTGTCTGTAAATATCTATGACATATAACAAAAACAATAACTGCCCAAACCCTTCTTTTGAGGGAAAACCAAAAACAAATGGAAGAATATGATATTTCACGATACATTGCAGTAAAACCCAAAGCAAACCATTGACTCCTGAAACCCCAAAAAAAGGTTAAAATAAACTGGATGCCATACTAGACAAAACAGGGTAAAAAAGAACTGAATGCAAACAAAAGCAAAATATTTAGACATTCAAATATGGAAATAGCTCTGATAATTAAAAGCATTAAGATAAGATAAGAGATCATCAAAGAGATTTTTGTCAATGGGATGAACAGCGAGGCTCATCAGGTGAACAGTAATGTGTTCTGATGGACTTTCCTTTACAAAATCCCAGAAATTCTATGGTATAAAGATTTTTGTTTTCAGAATAGAAAGTTAAAAATCTTGGCTTTCAGAAAAAGCTGAAAATAGCATGTATGATTTAGTAAGCAATTAAATAAAGACAGCATATTTATAGGATCAATAAGAAAATATTTGTTCCCAGAAACAAACCTTTCTGCTCGAAAAGCCAAACTTTTCCATGACCACTCTTCTGCAAAGTTAACTTCTTCTGGCTTTTTATCCCTTCCAGAACTGACTAAATCGGATAGATCAGCTGTATTCTGCCAAATACATGATCAATAAAACATTGGCATTCCATTTGAGGAGCATAACATTAAAAAAATGCAGCAGTCTGAAGGATCTTTACACAAAGAAAAGTGTTTAATTGCGCAAGTTCACAAACTAAAAATATCAACCTGTAGCAAAAGATCATATAATCGAACAAGTTCTTCAGGTTTGGTGACTTTTTCATTTTTATCATCATGACGCTTTGCAAGTTTACTTTTTGCAACCTTAACCAACAAGAGGTTGCGCTCTATGGTTCTTTCTCCTAAGACAGCACCGACAGCCTTATCAAGACCATTCAAATCATCTTTCACGCTTTCTGAACTTCCTGCAGTGGCCTAAAGTGTGCCATATATTAAGAACAGATAAAGAACAATGGTGCATTACTACAGGGCTTAAACAACTCTCTGTCTAACAAGTAAAGAGATTTTGCAGAGAATTCATAATTAACAGCAAGAACATAAAGTAATTTCCCATACCAAATCAGCCCGAATATAGCCTCTGGCTTCATGATATGCGGAAAAGATTTTGTCAAAAATAACAAGTCTTTTATCTGCTGGAATTGAGTCTGCCAACGGACTATGTATATCTTTCTCCAGCTCCTGAGCTGAGAAAATTATTCAGATAGAAACATTACTTGATATTGCTAGAACTTAGCTAAACTATATAAAAAGCAAAGAAATAACAAAAAAAAAGCCACCATATGCTAAATCACACAGCTAAATACATTATAAAAAACCCAAAAGCATTGTTGCATGATTGATGATCACCAACTACAGAAGAGAATGCATTTTACATGGAGACATGTAAAATGATGCAATCAGCTCCAGTATTATTCCCCATCTTCATATTTGGCAAAATATAATATGCAAATTATCATGAATAAAAAAAGTATACAATCGTAACTAGAAATTTCAGTTTCAATACAATTTTGGTAATGTGAAATGAAGCCTTGCAACAAATTCAAATGTTTGGTTCTCAAAAAAAAAAAATTTGATAGTTTCCTTTAGGTCTGGTATCTGCATGATTTAACAGGTTTGCACCATGTTAGCAAAGATATTCTGTGAATGGATTTAAAGTCTCCACATTAACTAAGATTTTTTTTCCAGTGTAAGCACCAAAAGGAGCATTACGTATGTGAACAGAGGTATACAAGTCAGAAGTAAAACCCACTAATCCAGGTATCAAAAATACAAATTTTCATCGGCCAAACTATATTTCCACCAGGAGTTGCTTTCAGCACATCTACTACAATAAAAATCAAGCATATTACTAAAGCAATAGTAACATAGTTGTGAAAACTGAATATTTCATTCATCTATTCAAATGAAATGAGATTTACAATATATATCAAAGAAAAAGGGTAAAGAAGGAAACAATAAAAGCTACATGGGCTAAGGCCCATTACACTAAGTTACAAGAATTCCCACAATAGTAACATGCCAACAAGTTGTTCAGACCAATGTTTTTAGAATATATTTAGTATAAGATGTCCAGAATTTGTATCACGCTATCACCAGCATCCACAAGGGGGAAATAGTTAACTTCTAACTGATCACAGTAAATGTCATTAGTGTACACAATATTCCAATCAATTAACAGCACACTCATGAAAGGGTACACAGAAAGAAAAGAATCCCAGGAAGAGTAGTAAATGTCATTTTGCAGGGTGGAAAAAGAGACAACTAGGTAGATGCACATCGGAGAAAGGTGAGATCAAGACTTGGAAAGATGATTATTAAATTTAATCAACAGATAACTTCATTTTGAATTTACTAGCCCTCTAATTAATAAGAGAAGATAGCTACCAACCTTTCAAAATGGCAACCCTTGTTTTGGCATTTGATATTGGAAATCTATGGCCAAGCCAATGGAATTCTGTCATGGAAGCAGCTTGTTGAGATCTTGCCTCAGCCATGACGGCCTGGAACAAACAATACTCAATTATGTATTCTTATTATAGAAAGGGCATGCATGAAGCTTGTTATCTTTCAAAAAAGCAGCCTACTGATTCAATTAATAGAACTGATTAAGACTCTTGAATGGTAACTGTAAAACATTACGCATTAAAATAATAGCAAAAGTGAGTATTGCATAAGATACTTTTACAGACATGATGCATATGAGGAATTACACAATTTTCTACACAAGGATCCTGGAGTTCCGGGGGAGGGGGAGGGGGAAGGGGAAGGGGAGGGGGGAGGGGGGGGGGCAACCATATTAGCGAAATTGAAGGAAACAAGCATAAAGTTGAATCTGCTTTCACTCAGGAATTGAAACATTAGGAGTTCTCAAGTACGAAGGTATATTATTCAGGAAAGTTTTTTAACATTTAAAAGATCATTTTATGTGTGCATGATTGAGTCCCCCTGTTGAATAGACATGAAAATGAAAGTCTATCTCAATGCAACATGTCCTCATAAGAAGTATTTGAATATACTGATTTGCAAAGATAAGGATACTTGTTTTCATTTTTTTCCCAGTGATATATACAAAAGAAATCTATACCAACCTCTAATTTAGCTTTAAAAAGGTCTAATGCAGGACCTTCCATATCACCAATGTGTAAAATCTCAGAGGCTTGTAGAGTTGACTGGCCAATTTTGTGAAGGCAGTATCGGATACTAGGTTCTAGTTCCTCAACTCGCTCCCGACACAAAACTTGGTTATCCAGATCTCCATATTTCCCTAATTCCTCATATACAGCCCTATTAAATAAGGACATAGTTAAAAGCCTGAGCAAGAAAAATGGAAGCATACTAAACAAGTGTTTGCCACAAAATATTTTCAAATCCTTCACAGAGGATCTCATTCAACCAAGCATAAACTTGTTCCTTATTTTCTTTTTTAAGAAAAAGAGCTTATTTTAACTTCTTTTCAAGGCAGTATGTATAAATCAAGGAGACAGAGTAAACGTACCGAGCACTTTTGAAGTTCATTAAAGCCACATCCCAGTTCTGATCTTGCTCAAACAACAAACTCCCCTTCATATAGGACTCATAAGCCTGAAATTCAGTGAGCAAACAAAAGAGAAATTATTTCCATTTTTCATCAACAAAAGAAAAATAGTTATCTACAATAGATTTAGTTAGAGAGAGAGAGAGCAAAACTATCAAAGCATTAGCATTTTAAACAGCTTAAGACTCCTAAACATTATTAAAAAATTGATAAATAATTATCAAACAAAAACAGAATAGGATATACAGATTAACTTGGAATCGATCAGTGTAAATAATATTGATATCTTGATGGGTAAAATAAATTTTATTTCCTAAAATTTGCTGAAGCTATCAATATAATCTCAAAAAAGTTTTTTATTTTAAATTCATTCAGAAACTTCCAATTTAGAACTAATTTTGTGGATAATCCCAGAAATAAGTGGCAAAATTTTTCAATTTGAAACCAATGTATCAAAGTAAAACCTATCAAAAAAATTATCAATTCAAAACGGTACAATATAATTTTAACATCGCTACAAGTTATTGCTTCATTATAATAAAATCTTGCTTATTTTGTTTAAGCTTTATAACATCTAATGTTCTTACAACAATATCACATTATTCTGGAAAGAATCTATAACAAAATTTCCCCTGATTGTCTAAGTTACAACTTAAAAAAAGTAATTTATATTAAGAGTATTATAATCAAGAAAAGATGCTATACTGAAATTTTAAGGAAAATGTTTAAATAGAAATGTACTTCAGGGATAAATGAAACTAAAACTTATCCCTAAGTTCAAGAACATACAGTGGATTATTTTAGCTTCTTTAATTATCATGTGTTCATGTAAATCTTACTTTTATGGCTTTATTACCTATTTAAATCAAACCAGACATCTAAAAAGCATTAAAAGAAAACACACATAAATTTTTTCTGATTCTATACATAAAAAGAAATATAGACATTCGAAATGCTAGTTGATTTTCTCTGAAGAAGTGGATTGGTATGAAGTATAAACTCTGTACCATAAAGAGAGGGGTGGCATAAGAAATTAAATGCAAAATAAAATACTGCAGTAAATTAACCATAACTCAATTAGATGTAAAAATCTATTCTTAAAGATGTATTTGTTACAATAACTGACTAAAAGACACACCTCGGCTTCCAGTGATGTTCTAGAATCTGCCTTGACTGCACACAATTGTGAAAACAAAGTAGCCCATTTTACCGCTTTCCGCAACCTACCGATCAAATAGATACGTTGACGTGCATTTGGGCCATCTGGAAGCTGCCTTTTCTCCATGGCATGACTCCAGGCTCTCTCTGCCGAATAGAGAATAAGGTGAAGAAACCTGAATTGAAACCAAATAGCTTTCAATGTTTTTTTTTTTTTTTTTTTTTTTTGAAATACAGCTTTCAATGTTAAACATGCATAGATAATTAAAAATGTTGCCGGACAGATAAAATGTTTACTAAAAAATATCATCATCATTGACATCATCTTTATCCCAAACTAGTTGGGTTCAACGGTCAATAAACCCAAAAAAAGCAAGAAAAATTGAGGGAATAGAAAAATAAATGAATAAACCACTCCCCATTAAACTTGACTAGTGAGGGTGGGATGAGGGCAATCCTTGTACGGCCGTTGCATAATTGCAAAGAAGTTGTTTCCCGGATTCGAACCCGTGACCTTTCAGTCACAAAGGAACAACTTTGCCACTGTTCCAGGCTCGTTGACTTTAGAAAAATAAATAAATAAATAAATATTAAAAAATGAAAGAAGACAAACCAAGGTTGATATGATGGTTTTCATATAAATCTTTTGGGATTCTTTTGGATAGAAATGCTAAGAAATATATCTAAAAGTGGTTCAGGAGCAATGACCCCAGAGAATTATTGATCGACCAATTAATAATGTATAAACCCCCTATCAGCTTAATCTCTTCAGAAAAAACTCAGCCTACCAATGTTCATTAGGGTGCTGTTAGACCTCCTATTAAGTTGTATATCAAGAAGGTTGATAAGAGGTGCAGAGCAGGGACCCAACCCAAGTGAGCAATGATTAAGGCAGACAGGAAATTCCACTACACGAATAACAGAATGCCTACGTGGCAGAGAGAGAGAAAAGCAAGGAAAAGAAGGCCTTTGTTAGGAAAGGGGTAAAAAATGAAAAGGCGGGGAGGACCTTAGGAGGGAGAGACCAAACCTCGAATGGCTTGGCTATATTGTATTTTCTTTCATTCCTTTTAATTTTGTGAGTATTACACTTCAGTTTATGTAATCCTGCCTCTGACACTGATACCATCTGAATATCGGTAGCAGAGAAGGAATTCTCCATAGAAAATCTGATAAATCAGTGTTCTATTACCTGGTTCCTGTAAGATGTTCATTGTGGTTTTAAGAATGTGGGACACTTCAATATAGATAGTGTTAAAAGATTTAAAATAGTCTTTTCATTCAAACAAGTAATTCAAGCAAAATGTCAGGAAGAAAAAAAAATTAATTTGACTGATCTTAAGGTGGAAAATCCCATCAAAATGATTCCAAGAAGATCTAAACCACTTTTAAAGACACCATGGAGGAGCCCCCATACCTCTCCACTTCCAAGTAGACATAAAAAGATTATCCTATTAAAAAATATTATAGGCATTCCCTATGATGAATTTCAGGCTTTCGGCTGCTTCTGGCCACTAATGCTTTAGAGTAAACCAAAGGTCAAGGCTATTTAACTTTCTGGACACTTTTAACCATTTAAGAATGAAATTAGTAAGTTCACCTCATAGAGTGGGTTTATTCCTGTAGTACAGCGCAGTCATGTTCCTGCAACAGAACTGCTGAAGTAATTTAAAAGGTTATATCTTTAATATTAACCTGGCAAGTAATAGCTTATGGCCCATAGCTTTTGGTTTCAAGACCTGCCTTTAGAGAGTTTGATAATATATGTGTACAATGTCAACCCTGACCAACATATTATTAGATCATTTGACAGATCAATATCATTAAAACCTTCTTCAAGATTTATCGGAGTTTTACCATCACAGTAATTCATAAGAGAACCAACAAGTAATTTATTCCGGAGAACGAACCCAGAAATAATTTGATAGCAATGAAAATAGTAAAGTCTAACAACCAATTGGAATCAATCTTTCTAATATTCTTGCCTCCTATGACACAATTTCAAACTAAGTCAACTACAAAAAGATGCCAGAACTTGTACCAGAAAAGAAAGATACAGTGAGTAAAGCATACCTTACTTCAGTGACAGTAGACTCAGTTACGGTTCTTTTTGAATATTTTCCACGACCATGGGTAAACTTTAACGACTTATATAACCTCCTCAAACGAGCAGTGCAATACCTCCTACAACGTTAAGGAAAAAGATACATCCATAAGTAATCTATATATATTTCACCATGTTACATGTTAGTCAAAGCAATGGCTTGAATCAATGGTTTCCACTGAATGGTTAGTCCACAATGCCAGAAGACTAAGGTCTTGAAGCACCAAGGTGCACAAAATTATAAAGGAGAAACTGTTATCCAAAGCATTTAAAGCAGAACAAAAGCTGACATGTTCCCAGCCATTTTCACTGGTATAGTTAAGCTGTTCAGTTATAGAACTAGTAAATTGCATCTCTCCTATGAATCATTCTTCAGGATCCAATATACACTACGAAGCACTGACATTTCAAAAACCCTGACGTGTCGTGCCCGACACTCCAACACGCAATATAGAAATTCAAAAAAAGGTTCAAAGATTGCGTTTTTAATTCTAACTATTAGATTCGTTGGATTACGATTACTATTTTATTGAGTTTAATATAAATATTTGGGATATCTTATATTCTTTGCAAAATTAATGAATATTATAAGTTTAGTTTCATTTTTTTGTTAAATTATTAAATATTAAATATAATATACACTACGTAAATTAAAAATATTAATTAATATCAAAACGTGTGCTAACGAATTAACGTGACACTCCGAGTGTCACGTGTCCCGTGTGAGTATCGGTGCTACATAGAATATACATCTACAGCTAGAAAAAATTAAAATCTGACATCATGTTAGCAACGATAAAAATACATACCGATAGCGAGTGTAATCCCCATGGCGCAAGCCATGCTGCATTTGCGCAGATTTTAAGAGCTGCAGTACTGGAAAATTTTACAAAAAATAAAAATACTGATTACACCAATTATCAAAGTTTCACTATTATATGCTGCATTTTCCATTTCATTGCTAAGCGCAACATCATAGGAACATAAATGGAACAGCAATGTAGCATGAAAGAGAAGACAAACCGTTAATGGAGAATTTGGGAACGATCTGATCAGAATTCGCCGATTTTGGATCGTCAATTTCCATAGCGGACACTTTCTCCTTTCCCATCACCACGTCTTCATTAGTTCAAAACATTCACCAAATTCATTGAGCAAAAAAAAAATTCAATCAGAGCCGGCGTTGGAGGTCGATGCGGTGCGTTTGGTTGGTGAGTAAATAAAACTGAAGCTTTCGTTTGAAGGGGCAACAACAGATCTCGAAATAAAGATTAAAAAATGACACAAACCTTTCAGCGAGGGTTTCAAGCGTCGTGATAGATTGAAGTTAAGAAGTGCCACGAATGTTACGTACGCTGGTACAAAAGGCCTCCTCCGTCGTCGCCGAGAACGAATGGAACTATGCCTATGGTAAGAGTGAAAGGACCCCAGTTAGCAGATACAGTCTACCCTTTTGTTTAAAAGGGCCGGGTCATACTAGCCCAACCCAATTCTATATTGGCCCATGGATTAACTTACAAACAAAAAAACTAAAGGGTGTAGTGGAGTAGGATTTTGAAAAAAAAAATTGAGATAAAAATTCTTATAGATTTTGAAAGATTTTTTTGAGATAAAAATTCTTATAGATTTTAAAAGATTATATAAGAATTGAGAGACTTTAAAGACTTTTTTAAAAGATTTTTCTTATAATCAAGATTTCATAAGATTGAATTTTAAAGGATTTTAATATAATTTATAAGATTTGAAAGGACAATATGGATTTATAAGATTTTAAAAAACCATATGAATTTTTAACAAACATTCAAAATTACAAGAGTCGATAAAAAAAAGGGAAGGTTATACTTATAACCTATTTTTATTTACAACCATATATTAACCATTGATTTCCGTCAATCAACGGTTATCATTCATTGTGAATTAAATAATAATTAATGAGTTTGATTTGCGAAAGTAATAACTGTTGATTGACGAAAATTAACGATTAAGATATGGTTGTAAAAAGTTGTGAACAAAAAATAGGTTGTAAGTATAATCTTTCCCATAAAAAAAAACAAAGAAATGCAATGAAATTAATACAAAAAAGTAAAACCTAATATAATTTTCCCAATCAGTAAAATATAATATAATTTTTAATAAACATTCAAAATTACTAAGCAACAGCTTTTCACATATCTAAAATTATACTAGTCCTCCATGCATTAACATTTTCTCATTTCTGCTCTTGGGTTTGACCAATGGGTTACAAATTATCTTCTTCATTTGGTATCAAAGCTATGCATATATGATTATAAGACCCAATTTTTTTAATTATTAAAATAATTCTAAATTTGCATATAGAACCTAAAGTTCATGATAAAATTTCATTTGGAATTTATTGCAATTGATCTTGAAAACTTTGGAGTTTTTATTGTACATGATAAGAGCTTAAATTGCTTTGGGACTTTTGAAAAATAAGTTTTTAGTTATCTATTGACACAAAAATTGTTTGAAATCATTTTATATAGTGAAGAAATTTCGTTTATGAATGTATTATTACGAAATATACGGTTCATATTACGAAAGTTTCAATCTTTCTTTAAATTAATATTGTTTCATTGACGTAAAAGGAAAATTGTTTGAGGGTTTTAGTCCCCCTGTTATTTTCCTATTGTTTTGTGTTGTTTTAAATACAAAAATAACACCTTTTGTGCCAAAAAAATTGTGACCCATAGCTTGAAAATTTACTTTTTCAACTTCCAAAATTTCTCAAAAATAGCTAAAAAATATGTTATTTTTTAGATAGATTATATTAAAATCTCGTTGGTTTGTTGTTTCTGAGTTGTTTTGTGATGAAAATCACTCAAAAATATGTTATTTTTGAGTTTTGACGAAGCTCCTATGGCGGAACCTGATTTTGAGCGGGTCAACCTGCCAAAAGGAAGAAGAAAACACTACAATATAGAAATCTCAAGAAATCTTAGGGGTTAGGTTAAGATTTTGAGAGAGACGTCCTATTTATATTTCTTACTAAAGAGTCTCACGAAATCCATACCAGTAAAAAATTCATTAAAATCGTTAGATTTTTGAATACCACAAGATTTTTTTTCCATTATTTAAAATCTTGATTGAATACCAACGGATTTGGACAGACTCTGAAATATTCTTTTAAAATCCTAATTGAATACCACGTGACTTTTTTTAATTCTTTAAAATCTTAATTGAATACCAATAGATTTTTTATCCAAAAACAATCCATTAAAATCACTTGAAATCTCAATCCAATACACTCCCTAATTTAAACCATACATATTTTAATTATGGAAAAAATGTTTATCCTTTTAAATGACACTACTTATGTCATTTCACTCTCATAAAGAAATGAGACACACACCTTTATTTTTATTTTTTTGTCTACACTCTGTCCCCCATGATCTATTTCTTTCTCTTACTTAAAATGACACAATTTTATATCCTTTGAAATGACACACACTCTAACTTTTAATTATGGGAAAAATATTTCTGCAGTTACTGCAAATAAATTATCTGTATTTATTTCCAAAATGACGTCGTTTTGGTATTGAAATCTTAAAAAATTATAAATATAAAGACTATTATAATCCTGTAATAAATTAAAATTATAAAAACACCATAGTTTCCGCCTCAAAACAATGTCATATTGAATTTACTATGAATAACTTATCTACAGTAACACCAGAAAAAATGAAGCCTTTAATTATATCAGTTATGTTATGGCTTAATTTTAACATATCAAATTAAATGTACAATTCACCGGTCCAAACAAAGATTAAATAGTAGGGCCCACGAGAATCAGGGAAAGGCATGGAGCTGGAATGCTATCTTATCCTGGATAACATTTTCGACCACCTACTTCCCAGTTTATGCTCCCCCTCCGGCCGGTGACACAAACCGGGAAAATACCCCAAAATTAGAAAATAAATAAAAAAAATGGCATTCTCAGCGTCTTTATGGTCTTCCCTTTTTGTTCCAAATCCAAACAGAACCAACTGTTTCCCTAGATTCTCTCTCGCCAATCAAAAACCACTCAAACTACCACTATCAACAGCATTCGTCATTCCGCCACTATCAACCGCAACCGCCGAAGTTTCCGGCGCCATCGACGGAACCACCATCGCGGTTATAAGCGGGGGTTCAGTGGCGGCCCTCGCGGCCGTGCTATCCCTGGCGGACCCCGAGAGGCGGCGGCGGGAACAGGCGGAGGAGGTGGGCGGGGACGACAAGGAGGTGGTGAAGGAGTACTTCAACAACTCCGGGTTCGAGAGGTGGAAGAAGATTTACGGCGACACGGACGAAGTGAACCGGGTTCAGCGAGACATTAGGGTGGGACATTCCAAGACCGTGGAGAGCACGCTTCAGATGTTGAAAGACGAAGGTTCGCTTGAGGGTGTAACGGTTTGTGACGCTGGTTGCGGCACGGGTTCTCTCTCTATTCCCCTCGCCAAAGAAGGTGCCGTTGTAACCGCCAGTGATATCTCAGCTGCTATGGTTGCTGAAGCTGAGAAACAGGTTCACTTTCCTCTTCTTCTTCTTTTCCTTTTATTTACAAAGCTGCATTTTCATTTTATTTATTTATTTATTATTTATTTGGTGAAGGCAAAAGAACAACTTGAAGCAAGTGAAGATGGTCTGTCACGTGCACCAATGATGCCAAAGTTTGTAGTGAAGGATTTGGAGAGGTTGGATGGAAAATATGACACGGTGGTGTGCCTTGATGTTTTGATTCATTACCCACAAAATAAGGCTGATGGGATGATTGCCCATCTTGCATCATTGGCCAACAACCGATTGGTTATGAGTTTTGCACCAAAGACATTTTATTATGATCTGCTAAAGAGGGTTGGAGAGTTGTTCCCTGGACCTTCAAAGGCAACAAGGGCATATCTTCACTCTGAGGCCGATGTAGAGAGGGCACTTCGCAAGGTTGGTTGGACCATAAGGAAAAGAGGCTTAATCACTACTCAATTTTACTTTGCTAAGCTTATTGAGGCTGTTCCTATGTAAGTTTTGGATAATATTAGTTCTTTTGTTTAGAGGAAATTCCTATTGTACATTTTTTAAGGCCTTTTTTTCCTGCTTATTATGTATGCTATGATTCTCTTCATATAATTCTATACGCGACCTCAATTTCTCTTCATATAATTCTCGCCTTTCTAAAACGTGTAAGGATGTGTACTCAAATGTGCTCACATTAAGCTTCAGTTTGTAGCTAAAATGCTTATCACTGTGAGACTATGTTTTTGAGCGAGATGGAGTACAGTGGTTCATATTTGTATATAAGTCCCAGCCTATGTTGTATATTATGGTAAAATTGTTAATAGATATAGAGAGTCTAAAAGCTACAAAGGAAAAGTAAGGGGACATTATGCTAACAACTGAAAAACCAAAATTGCTTTAGGTAAAATGCTAATGTGATAAAATTGCTTCAGGTTCTGTGCAGTTCTTGCTAACACGAACAGAGAAGCGTTAAAATCACTAGACTCTTTCTAAATCCTAGTAGGAATTCGGAAGAAAAGAATAGAGGGTTTTGTAAGCTGCATCTAGAATTGAAGGAATAAACATTAACTTACGAGAATAGATGCAATAAAGAGGAGTTTTCACCAATAAAAAAAAAGGAATGATAGAAAGCGAAAAACTGAGGAGTGCTAATTATAAAGGGTTTGGGATGGGGGAGTTGATGATAATGACGTCTAGTGCCAAAACTAAAAGCAATTGGCAAATCCTTGTAAACAGTTACGAGGAATCATGCATGCCCCTGAAAGATCTTTCATGTTTCTTCTGAATTGATTCACAGCTTATCAGCAATTTTTGTTAGAGCATCTGTGAGCTTGGCAAGGGCTGTGACTAAGGTATCTGTTTGCTCCTTCTGCTGATCCCTGGCCAATTGGTAATTTGCGTTCTGAGCTCTGAGTTGGGCTTTCATTATGTCACTATTCCTCCTTAGTACTTTGATAATATCATTGTTGAAATTTGTGCTGTCTTCACAATTCTCTGATGATGATCGCTTTCTCTTGCATCCCTCTTTGACCATAGGTTCTCTCTGATAGCCTGAACCAAATACACTGTTGTTGAGATTACCAACAAAAATAAATAAATAAATAAATGCTTGGGTTTTTTTTATTTTTTTATGTATTCTTGAATCATTTGCAGTCATTTAGACAAAAAAATATTCCCACTCTTGAGTTTAAGGAGTGACCATGGACATAAATGTCAATCTAACTAAAGCTATATTTTTTACGAGCAGCTGATAGTATACAATATCGGTAATATATTTGCCTGGTAAAATACATGCTCTGTTTTTTTTTTTTTTTTTTTTTTTTTGGTATGATATAATAATAACCGAATCAAACTTTACAGCAACCATAGTAAACAAAAAAGAATATAATAATTATAAAGAGTAATAAATATTAAAAATAGAAAATTAAATAATGAAAATTATTCTATTAATAAAATAAAAAGTATAGTTAAACAGAATAATATCAATAATAATATAATTAAACGACCATATAAAAAATAATACGCTATAAAAAATAACATTCTATAATTACTATTATTGTATAAATATACAATAATAGTAAGAGAATTAAGAACAATAAAATTTCTATAATAACAAAAAAGATAATAACAAAAAACTTATTATGAAATGAAATCTCCTCAAATAAAACGAAAAAGTATTTTTACACAATGCTCGGACAGAAATTGTGATAATAATAATTTGGCGTTTTAATTATTTTCTTTTTAAAATTTAAAAAATTTAATAAAAAATATAGTAATTGAAAATGAAAACTGAAACAAATCAACCACCCTCTTATATTTTTCTATGGTAACATTTTTGCCATATAAAGCGAAAAAGTTTATATATATAAGATCTTATCATTCGTGTTACGATATTATGGTTTATGAGTTTTTCTCCCTTTCCGATCTGACATAAGATCTCAATTTTTGGCATGCAACCATCAAAATTGCATGATTTGTAATATCACAAGTCAACTGAACCACTTTTAACAGCTTAAAAAGTTATTTTTATATGCTATGACCAGATTCACCAGAATTATAAATGGCAGTAGTGTGGGCTTTTTGACCACTATAGCATTTTTTTAATAATTAATTACCAAATTGACCCTATTTATAAACTATTTCAAAAATTTAACCTCTCCAGAAAACATAACACCAATCTGCTCCTGTTTGACCGTTGACCATGAAGCCTACCTGGGTACACCCCTACCTACCCGGGTAAATTTTAAAAATTTTTACCTACCCGGGTACACCCCTCCCTACCCGGGTATATTTCTTGAATCTGGAAAATGTTTGAATTATTTACCCGGGTAGAGAGGGGTGTACCCGGGTAAATAATCATAACTCAAGCTTTTCTCTTCTTGCTTTTCTTCTTTGTTTCTGGTTTCTTTTTCAAACCTTGCAGAGTCATTTTAAGAATGGCCAATTTCTGAGCATCTGAGACACCCTCTCCAACATCTTCCTCTTGCCATCTTCAGTTGTCTTTTTTACAGTTTTCCACAACTTAAGCTTGTCAACGCCCAATTCCTTCACCTCTAATTCTGAACATTTTTTTGAATTGCCTGACTGGTGACATGTAATAGCATCCTTTGTTGGAGCAGAACCTTGATTATTTGCTTCACTAATCTCAGGCATATGATCCAGTGGAATATCTTTCATCAATAACCTATTTTCAGATTTTGTTCTCCATGCGTTAGTCCTTCAATTTAGAGATTTTCATTTGCTGTTCACACAAAGAGGATGGGCGCACACAACCAGTTTATGATTATTTACCCGGGTACACCCCTCCCTACCCGGGTAAATAATTCAAACATTTTCCAGATTCAAGAAATATACCCGGGTAGGGAGGGGTGTACCCGGGTAGATAAAAAATTTTAAAATTTACCAGGGTAGGTAGGGGTGTACCCGGGTAGACTTCATGGTCAACGGTCAAACAGGGGCAGATTGGTGTTATGTTTTCTGAAGAGGTTAAATTTTTGAAATAGTTTATAAATAGGATCAATTTGGTAATTAATTATTAAAAAAATGCTATAGTGGTCAAAAACCGCAGTAGTGTGAGTTAATTTGGTTTACCAGGATTGCAGTTCCCTTGACAAGATGGTTGTCTCTGTTTCTCTGCTTATCAGTGTAGAGCAACAAGAAAATGATTGGTGACAATATGTATAGCCTTAGGAGAAACATATGAAGAATGAAACACACCTTACACATTTAATCTGAGCTTATTTAATCTTAAACCAAGGATATAAAACTACTAAAACATATCTTTTTCACCTCGTTTCTTCTTCTTTTTTTAATGATCTCTACTGTAAGCATAAAATTTCGATGGAATGGGAATGATAAAATCATATAATGTGGTTCGTTCGTTTTCTACGGACATTCTTATGTTTCAACGAAATATTTATCGTGGAATTTTTTACGGATTTTCTGTGACTATTACACCATCACAAGTTCTTCAGCAAGTTTATTTTTCAAGCTTCCGCGGTGCTCCTATTCTTTTCTTATTTTCATGTGTTGTAAATGATGCACTTACACTTACATATTGTACATGGCCCAATCGTTTATTGAAAAAGTTTAGAGTCAAACACAATTATACTTATAGCTCATTAAGCATGACTCGCATGTTCAAAGAATCAATAATTTGAAATATAACAAGTGCAATCAAATCCAAGTCCAAATGAAAAAATATATATGATTATGATTTATTTGTCAAAAAAGGAAAAGCATAGAATTTTAAATTTTGAATTGATTTGTAATCAGTTTATAAAAAGGTGTTTAAGACCCTTATCGTAGGAGCTGAATTTAATCTTTTATGAAATCTTAACTTTCTGTTTAGTCATCTTTTCTTATGCACTTTCGGCATCAATAAAGCATGACACATAAGCATGTGTGCATGCATCAGTTACGTTTAGTTTTTGGGCTTATTTAGTCTCATGTTGCATGAGAGAAAGAATCTTATGTCATAGGCACATAGTAGTGAGGCCCATCACCTAAAAAAAAAAAAAAAAAAGGTTGCACGGTTATCAAAGGATGTGTAGGAAGAAATATTTACCTCATATAACATGAGAATAGTTTTTCCTTTACTTTTTTTATCAGTTTGTTATTGTTTTACCACGTAGCTCATAACTTCTTTCAGTGTATAGTTCTTGCTTATATAACACCAGTGTACCTTCAGAATTGTATCAATGAAAATCATAATCTCTTCTCTTCTCAAAATATAAGATGGTATCTAATGCCGAAAACACATAGAAAAAGTGGCTAAACAAAAAGTTGAGATTTGCTAAAAGAGTAACCATTCAGTTCTTGATTTCTATCAACAAAATTCAACTCTTATAATAAGGGTCACAAACACCATTTTATAGACTAATTATAAATTGATCCAAAATCCAAAATCTAAAATCATAAAAAAATGAAAAATTCTTAAAAATAAATATAACGGTTATTCACTTCTGAAAATAAATAAATAATTACAATTAAATTATTCAAAATATGTCCCAATTCTTGTCAAATGTGTTGTTTTTCTTTTCTTGCCAAACAAATCATAATCATATCTACTGCTTCATTTGGACTTAGATTTGATCGTAATTTGTTATATTTCAAATTACTGCTTCTTTAATGATTGAGCCATACTTATTGAGCCACCATTCTGGCTGACTCTAAGCTTCTTGAATCAATGATTGGGCCATGTGCAATTAGTCAACCGTAAGTACATCATTATCCACTATTAGAAAAAGATTCTTCCTCAAACCTTCTTTATCTTCACTAATATCAATCTCTTCAGGTAAAATCTCAATTGATAATTCTTCTTCCATTATATCTTCATCTTCAGATTCTCTATCAGATTTATCATAGACTGGATTATCAACATAAACTAAATTTTCATCATAAGATGGATAATCATTGTAAATCAAATAATCATTATAAATTGGATTATGATCATAGACTTCAAAGTCAAGAATGTTGAGTTACATCACAAATTCTTAAGTAGTGGACTGATTTGCAAGTCGTACTCCCCAATTTCTTCCCTGATTTAGAATCCCAAAAGGATTTATGTCCTTTTCTTCGTTATCGGATGCACCCTCTAATTCCATTCTTCTTTAGATTGAATACCCAACTTTGTTCGCGCAAA